TCTTCCTCAGATGCTTGACACGGGACATTACAGATAATTATGAAGGCAGAATGTCATGATCCATCATTGAAAATGATCACCCACCGGCAGCTCATGAGTGACTTCGTTCTGCTACTTCCTAATGTCCCCGCGTGACCAAGCGGACTCATATGACTCATTAAGTCAGTGAATATTTTAGTACAATTCTGTGAAATATATTGACCTAAGTATCTATAATCTTGTTACCACACACTACCAATGTTTTTAGGACGACACCTAGACGTCACAATGCCTAACACTCCTTTTTATGCTTTAATAAAGTTCAGCAATGTTCACACACTAATGAACACACGAGTCCTCAGATTGCTTCTGACTTACAATTCCCCACCATTCACGCATTCCCCTGTGTTTTCTATGTAGAAGCAGCTGACTCTTTGCACACACCTTTCTGCGCTCTTAGTTGGCTGGGTCCACGCACAGGGTGCATTTATTATCTTCGTCCTTCTCTGACTTCCGCCAACTAGCAGTTGCATCAAGGAGCTTCGTTACATTCAGGGCTCTCTCTCCCACCTTCCTTCTCCCCTCCACCTTCCTATGTCCCTCCCTCCCTTCCTGCTTAGCAGTGATACTTGACAGTTGTCTCATGCATGCTCTCTTTTAAAAATAACGTTAGCAATTGTTGATATTCATTGCCTAGACTCATTACTTACTAAGAGCTACAATATTGTCTTGTTCTCATTCTATCACTCATTCTTTATCTACTTGTTGTGGCACGGCACCACGCTGCACTTGTAAGTTAACACTGGGAGGTACTCTTCCTCATTCATATATATGAAGCTAACTAAGGGCTCTTTCCCAAGTTAACACATAAATATTACATTGGATCCATTCTATCAGCAAGCTTTTCTGTTAGAAAATGCAGTGTTTTTCCATCAACTTAAACCTTATTTGACTTCCAGAATCATCTTAGAGCTCTCTCACCTAGGTTGTTTACTTATTTTTGACATGGAATGCTGTCTTCTTTTGCACTGTATTATCCGACAAGCTATTTTTGGTGTATATGTTATAATTTTACTTCCTACTTTGCTGCCAAGTCCCCTTGCTATGTGTACAAGTTAGCCTCATTCATCTTTTGGGGGTTTTCTAGATGCTTAAAAATGTAGAATCACTTAAAAGTAGAAACACATTTTATCTCTCTTTCTCCTTCTTATGCCCCTAAGAGCATTCTCTTTGCTAATGTCTTTGGCACTGAAATGTGTCAACAACGTGCCCTGGCCTTCTTTATTGTCTATTTTTCCAGCTCTGTTCACTTGATTCTCATTGGGCACACTTACAGAGTATAGTAGAAAGGTTTTCTCTTCAGGGACTTGGGAATATGTCTATACTGTTACAAATAAACTTTATATAATAAAGGAAATCGGAGTCTATTAAGTATAGGTATTACATAGTTGACTGTGAGGTAACATGAATATAACCATTTAATTATCAGAGTGACATATTCAGAGCCTTCCAGATTATGCTTAGGGAATCTGTGTAATATGCTTCTCATTAAAGGATCAAATTACTTCTGAGCGACATAAGTGCATTTTCCCCCTAAAACATGGTCTTCATGACAACAGCAGAAACGGTTCCCAACAGAAATGGTTCGTTAAACATGTGCTATGGTGTGAATGTTCGTGTCCCCTCCAAGTCACCAAAATGACATGCCTCGAAGGTGGGCTTTGCCAGGAGAGGAGGCACAGCACACAGTCCCACCCTCGTGAAGGTGATCTGGTACTCAGAACAGAGGCCTCAAGCGAGGCCCCAGGGAAAACGCCCCACCAGGAGGCAGAGCGTCCTCGACCTTGCACTCCCGGGCTTGCAGAGACTGGACCCCAGTTTCTGTGACTGCACACGACTCAGCTTCTGGGGTTTGGTTACAGAAGCCTAAACCGAATAAGACAAAGTCTAAGAAGTTTCCTGTGAGACGAAATACATTTTCATTGAATATCAGTGGGACTGGCACCGAGGCATAGCAAGTGCCACGGGTGTCGCACGTGGGCACCAGCTAGAGTGGCTGGTGCCACTTAAGATCCAGTTCCCTGCTGACGTGCCTGGTGAAGCAGTGGAGGATGGCCCAATTGACTGGACCCTAATATCGACGTGAGAGACCTGAAGAAGTTCCTGGATCCAGGCTCCAACCCGCCATTGAGGTCACTGAGGTCATTTATGGAGTGAACCAGCTAAAGGCTCGCCTTCTCTCTTGCTCTTGCTCTCATACGTATTTGCTGTCTGCAGCTATGCGTTTCAAATAAAAATTAAAATTTGAAAAAAATAATCAAAGAATATTGGTAGGGCCATTTAATCTATCAGCATTTCTAGAGGCTTAGAAGTGAAGACTGTGAGGTCTGGATGTCTTTAATAACTCCCCAATTGTGTCCTTAACAGGCTTCTTCCAGAGGGACCACCTTCAGCAGACACATCTAGTTATTCCTGAGAAAGAAAATCACTAGAAAATTCACTATGTAGTAAAAAAAATTAACTTGTTTTCCTTAACTGAAAAGACATTCATTAAGTTTCTATTATACACAAAACACAACTTGAGCACTGTGGGTGATGACATTGTAGCAGACAGTTGACTGATGAGCCCACGGACTCCCAACAGAATTAAATAAACATTTACAAAAGCACTAATATGTTCTGGCTCGATGCTGAACACAGCACTGATTTCTTCAGCACTGAAATTTCACGACAGATTAAAAAGAAAGTCTACTTTGTGCTGGCAACATGGGACTGTAGAATGCATCAGTCACACAGTACTTTGTAAAAATAGCATTCACACACTAAGTCAGGCTGAGAAAACAATGTCCTCCTGAGTTCTGGTTGCAACTGCGCACAACAGTAAAACAAGCTCCCTCATGTTTTCCAAGACATTTACATTTTTCATAGTTTATGTCTAAGAATGCATACCTATCAATTCTTAAAACCTATCAATACCTCTCAATTCTCAATCTGTCAATACCTATCAATTCTTAAAGCTTTGACATTCAGTAGAGACTCCTTCTGCAGATCTGAACAGTTCTTGTCATGTAGACCTCTCATCCTATGACTCTAGTCTAAAATACATCACCAGGACATGGATCCACAACACTGCAATACAATAATGCAATTCAATCAGAATCCACGGGGAGGTTGAACGTGGACAGTACCGAGCCTGAGAGTGGAGCAGCTGCTGTGGAGGAGAGTGGCCCTAGAGACGTCACAGCCAGGTTCCCACCTGTGCCACCTACCAAGAAAGGGATCAGCAGTGGCTCTCCCCCAGACATAGAAGTGTGTGTGTTTCCATAGTAACCTGAGACTGGTGCTGACAAGATTCAAGCAGTGGAAGCCAGAAGCTGTCCTCACGGTCAGCCTGGAGCCTTGCAATGGTGGTGGAGGGGACAGCTTCGATAGGCCACTTGCAGAATTGCAGAAGTGGTTTCGGCAGGTCACTTTTAGCTGCTGCTTTCTCTGTGCAGACTGCTGTTTCTCTTATAGTGATAAATAACCCACAGCATAAAGGTTTCCTTCCCTATTCATCCAAGGACAAGCACGAAAGGAGAAGAAATTGAAGACCTCCTTGTTCTTTGTTGAGACTGATCTTTCTGCAAAGTCATGTAGAGAAATGGTTCTTGCTGACTCACCTGAGGAGGTGCACGCAGGATGATTCAGCGCTCTCTTAGTGAGGCACAGGAAATGTGTCAGGATCCCTGCTGACATCAGTGAGTAGAGCTACCCAGCACTTCCGAGCATTTCAGTGTGACAGTAAACACCACCACTGAGCTCGCTCCCTAACTCCATTATGACCCAACTTCACAGAGAGGAGTACTGTGCTTCTGTACAGATTCTTTATCCCAGCTGGGAAACATCACAAAATCGAGCTTCCAAGTTCCTACCCAGTGCCATGAGTCGCACCTCTACCTGGAGCAAGTGAAGCTAAGTAAACCATTTAATTGCTGGAAGTTTTCTTCAAACACAGCATAGATAGAGTCCCTGCTGAACTGCTTTTCTGTCTTTCAATCTGCCATTTCTCCTTCTGCTGGCTAAGGCAAGTTGTACTTTTAGGTTCTTCCTTAATGTTGGATTTTTAAGTGTATTTAGTTTGCTAAAAGTATCTCTATAGCACTATTGAAATGCCTAAATAACAGTGCATTCAAAAAGCCTTAAATCATAAATTAGACATAATTAATGTCCCTCAAAATGTGGCTTTCCAGTTGTCCTGTGCATGGATGGTGCATGTAGGGAAGCCATGAGAAGCCATCTGATTGTCCTGTGCATGGATGCTGCGTGTAGGTGAGGCATGAGAAGCCATCTGATTGTCCTGTGCATGGATGCTGCGTGTAGGTGAGGCATGAGAAGCCATCTGATTGTCCTGTGCATGGATGGTGCATGTAGGGAAGCCATGAGAAGCCATCTGATTGTCCTGTGCATGGATGCTGCGTGTAGGTGAGGCATGAGAAGCCATCTGATTGTCCTGTGCATGGATGCTGCATGTAGGGAAGCCAAGAGAAGCCATCTGATTGTCCTGTGCATGGATGCTGCGTGTAGGTGAGGCATGAGAAGCCATCTGATTGTCCTGTGCATGGATGCTGCATGTAGGGAAGCCAAGAGAAGCCATCTGATTGTCCTGTGCATGGATGCTGCATGTAGGGAAGCCATGAGAAGCCATCTGATTTTTGCCCAGCAGTTCCGGAGACTTCTGCTTTGACTGCCAGCTCTGTGTCCTCTCCCTGCCTACTAGACGTCGCATTTCCTAAAGCACAATTCAGGTCCCCACCTTGCACTGTCTTCTAAAACAAGATGTATTTTCCAATGCCAGAACAGAGATGTGCTGAATAGATCAACAGGCCTGAGATACTCATTTCAAAACAAGAGGGCAACATCCTTAATTGGATTTCATATTTGAAAGTAATTACACTTCCACTTGTCACTGCGCTCAAAAAGACGTAAGAGTTGAAACATGCCACTATGATTCATGATATATCCAGACAAAGGCTACTCACTTGCTCAAACTCATTCTTCTGAAATTCTTCAAAGCCGAAGATGTCCAATATTCCAATATTCAGGATCTGTGCACTGAAAGAAGATAACACCAAGAAATGAATGGCTGTCTCCAAGTCCTCTCAGCTTCGAGGGACACGGTCACTGAGTGTGTCACTATCAATCTGGACTAGAAATAGAAAAAAAAATATCTTGGCGTCTTGCAGAAGATTCTGAGTGTTAGTAGTAGTTGTTCTAATGCTGGGAATCAGACACAGATACATCGATATGCTAATTTTTAATTTACAAATGCTGCCCCGTGCTGATGGGTTCACAACATTTCTTCTCTGAAACAGCCTTGCAGTTGTCTCCTGGGAGAGGACTGAGAATTCCTTCCTTGGGCACAACGTCACAGGAAGTCCACCACAGTGAAGCTCCGTGTGTCTTGTGGTAGAGCAGACCCAGGCTTTTCTAAAAATACATTTTGGAGTTGGCACTGGGATGCAGTGTTAAGCCATCACCTTCCATGCCATTCTATGTGGGGAGCCAGTTCGCATCCTGGTTGCTCCACTTCTAATCCAGTTCCCTGCTAATAGCCTGGGCAACCAGGGGAAGCTAGCCTAAGTGCTTGGGCCCTTCCACCTACATGGGAGAACTGGAAGAAGCTTTCAGTTCATGGTATTAGGCTGGCTCAGCCTTGGCTTTTTTGGCCATTTGGGGAAGGAAGCAGCAGATGGAAAATCATCTCTTCTCTACCTCTTTCTCCTTCTTCCTGTCCCTCTCACTATATAACTCTGCCTTTCAAATAAATATATAGTTTTTAAAAACTATACCTTACATATTCAATAATGAATCTTTAAAAAATGAGACATGAGAAAGTGAAAGCTTGAAGAAAATTTTAAAGAAATCAGCCTTGTGATTCACAGATACGTGACACCTTCTTGAATTCACTGCAGTTTCAGCCAGGAGTGGAGTCATCAGTGCTCAATGTCATAAAGAATATCGGCCAGGGAGAGGCGCTCTGACAGCTGGGAGGCGGTGGGGTGAGGGGAGGACCTGGCCTGGGGGAGCGTGTACAGGTTTGTTTCTTTCCCAGACAGCCTGGGCTGACCCAATGCAGGTCAGTAGGGCAACAGGCTCCATTTCCTCCATGTCATTAATGCAACCTCTGCATGGTACAATGCTGTTCTTTTGTTTGTTTGTTTGTTTGTTTGCTTCTGCCAAAATATAGCCATTGATTTGAAGGCCAGAGCTGGGGGGGGGGGGGGAGGGAGGGATGGGAAAGTGAGCAAGTGAATAAGAGTGAGAGAGAGAAAGAGTGATCTTCTATCATTTGGTTCACTCTCCAGGTAGACACTGTAGCTTGGAGAAGCCAGAAGCCAGGAGCCTTGTCCAGGCCTCCCACATTGGGTGACAAGGTCGCAAGTATGTGATCTGTCCTCTGTTGCCCTACCTAAATAATCAAAGGGGAGGTAGACTGGAAGTAGAGCAGCCAGGACTTGAACCAGTGCTCCTAGAGGATGCCTGCTTCCTTATCTGCTGTGAAATCCACTGGACGTTGGCTGGACCATTCTGACGCCTTCAGCGTTCACATGCAGTCCACACTCACGACCCTTGGCTTCCCTGGCTTTTTGTGCAAACTGCAGCCCCCCAATTGTGTTTCTGTACCTGTGTGTTGTTTTTCAGGAACGTTACCCAGTCATAAGAGGATCGGTAACACGTCACTGAAATGACTATTTTTCCCCTTTACAAACATAGCGGAACAACTCTGGCATCCTGTTTGTAAGATCATTTGTTGGGTGTGGGTGAAACGTGAGCTTCATAAAGCGGAAGCAGGGCATTTAAACAGCCGTTCACATGTCAGAGCTTGCCAAGCAGGGAGACAAAGGCAGAATGTTCCATGAATGACTCCCACAGAACAATTTGGATTTTTAGATGAGAAACAAATGAAATAAATCTGTATCTCACTTAATGTTCAGATAAACTCTATGCAGATTAAAGAGTTAAATATTAAAACAAAAATTAAATGTGAAAATGTTTGTTTTCTAATTGTTGGGGAAAAACAAGAAACATTTAAAGGTGCGATTGCATAACTGCAGCCACTGCCGCAGGACATGTAAGAGCTGTTCAAGGCAGGGCTGAAATTGCCTCAGTCCCTGGGCTTTATTTTTAAAACGTCTATGGGCAGCTCTGTGGGGGCCTGTTTTATCTTAATTACAGAAACAACAATAAAGAGAAATAACAAATACCCAACACTGAAGACACAATTAGTTAAATGGCACGAATCCCATGATGGATTAACTTAATGAAACTGTCTCGTTAACAGAAAGTAAGATATAAATTCTGTGTAGAGAACAACCCAATTACACATCCAGGGGAGCTGGAAGGAAACGGAGCAAGTCACAGAAGAGGGAGCAGCTGCTTTGAGTCTGTTCTTTTTACTGATCCATGTTTTCCAAGGTTTCCCTATCGGAACTGTTACTTTTATAAGCAGTCAAGATGCAACTGACATCCAGAAAGACAATATGAAAATATGGAAAATGTTTATGATCAACACAGAATGAAAGACAGACGCTGGAAATCAGATGTTTATCTTTAGCAGAGTGTGAGTTCAACTCTGTGGCATGGGGAAAATGAAGCACAGATTTCCCTAGGATGTTGGACATGGCGGGGACTGCTTAATTCCCTATACATTCTGTAGTGAGTATTGGATCATATTTAACTTTAACTTTATTAAAAACCCCTTATTTGCAAATATTGATGACTAAGCACATGTCTGGGTGTTTTTTGATGTGGTAGAGCAAACGGATGGCCCTGACCTTCAGAACAGAGCAGCTCACTCCAGTGGCAGGGGAAAGGTGCTGGTTTTGCTGGTGGGGAGAGGGGCTGCAAGGTCACAGGGGTCAGCAGAGTGGCGGGGGCCCTGCTCTGCCCGTCACGTGCAAGGTTCAGTACAGACAAGCCTCCTACGCACGATGCAGCTGCGCTCACCTCTGACTCTCTTCTGTGCGTCCAAGCTGGGAAGGGCAAGAGCGAGCAGGGACACTAGGCCATGCTTGCCCAGCTGCCCTTGTCTTAAGGGTGCTGCCTGGTGCTGACACCCAGAGGAGACCAGGTGGTTAAGCAGGCAGCACGTGCGAGCCCAGACTGGCCAGTCCACCAGAATGAGGAACTGAGTCACGCATGTAGCTGGACGCGCACTCCTCTTGCCCTTCTCCCTCTACACTTCCCAGATACAAGATTCCACATTGGACACAAAACAGAAACGCGTTTTCAAAAAGACAATGAGGGAAGAACAGCCATTCTCGGCAGAAAGCTCAAGTGCAAGTTTGAAACATTTTCGGGATGACAATCACTGACGGACACGTCTGTTTAAAAGCCTGTTTTATCATTGATGATTATGGGAGACATGTGCCTGATATAGCCGTCACAAGTGTGGCAGGGGCATTAGGCGACCTTCCACGCAGCAGCACGTCCAGGCTGAGTGGCAGCCAGCCACACTGCCACCCCTTTTATTGACATCTTGAGCGCTGTGACAGTCAACATCCATTTTCTAACAAGGAGCTGCAGGGACACCATCTGATCAACCAGGATTCAATCCAATAGGCAAAATTAACATGTTAATAAGATGGTCTCTGCAAATGTAAACTCTTAGAATTCTCCAAAGAGATTTCCTGGTAGCTAAGGAAACACTAAAATACAAAATCTTTTAGGTGTGGAAGAAGCTCCGATGCCACCCCGTCCATCTGATTTGCTCATCCAGGTGTGCAGGTTCAGGGTAAGGAAAGGCCCCAGTTACCTGGAGTGCCTACCTTTGAACTTGAACTATGTCTTCTGAGCAGAGCAGTTCCAGTTTGCACAAAGCAGGGTTCACCGTCAGTCACCCCTAAAGGTGGAGATTCACCTCAAGAGTGGCCTAAGCCAGGAGGAAGCTTAGGAAAGCAAACAGCTGACACGGAATGCTCTGGAATCCCACTCCCGAGTAGCGTGAGGCCTGCGTCAAGCCATAGCAAGTTAAGCAGGACCTGCAATGCTAGCAGCCTGTGAAAGCACCAGTTAGAAGCCCAGCTCCATGCTAATGTGCTTGGGAAAGCAGTGGAAGATGGCCTCCTGCTTTGGGGCCTGCTGCTCATTTAAGGCACCCAGACAAAACTAGGCTTCTGGCTTCGATCTAGCCCAGCACTGACTGTTACAGCCATTTAGCAAGTGAATAAGCAGATGGAAGCTCTCTTTCTGTGTTTTACATTCTCTCTCTCCCCCTCTAACTCACCCTTTATAGTAACTAAACAAATCTTTAAAAAGAGAACAAATATATATGTCCATTAAAAGGCAATCCTGAGAATATGCAAGGTTGCGTGTCACTTACAATAGTTTGAATTTAAAAACAACCAAGGTATCCACCAAGAGTAGAATAACTGAAACAAGGACACAGCATGATGTGCCATATGTATTTTTGGAAACAAATATTACACAGGAATACACTTGAGAACGCAAGGGAGTGGCACTCATCACTACACATGCATGTCACGTGCTAACACTGAGCCAAAGAAGGTGGCCATCCACAAAGGGAAGAAGGAGCTTCCTGGAGTGTCGCTTGCATCCACATCCATGTAGTTCTGTGTCACACGTGTACAACTCCACAGATCTGTAAGCGTGACATGTACACTGCAGCAATGCCATGCCTCAATAAAACAGTCAAACAGTAGCATACTCACTTGGACCTCAATGATGCATGGGGTAGAGATAGCTAGTCAAATATTTGTTAAATGAGACACACTTAAACCCGTGTTTATCTTGGCACCACCAAGTCAAACACTATGTGAGAATAGTAAACTGCATTATGATTGACCTTGGCTACTACAAGAGGCCCAAACGCCATTTACTAATATAAAGATACCAGCAGGGAAGTAAACCCTAAACAGGAAAGTCCCGGGCTGAGGGAGCCAGGAAGGGCACCTTCTCCCAGCAGCCCAACACCAGCGAGGTGGCCTTTCCCCCATTACGGCTTTCATTCACGTCCAGGGTTCTTCTCTGTCCTCCTCCCAGTCGGCTGATGCTCTTTGGCAGCAAAGGGCCATTTCCGGGGCTGCTTCCAG